GTATGCATCAGCTAAAAGCTGAATAAATCATCTTTCCATTGATGTATGGTTTGTTAGGATCGGACAATATTTGAAAATCTGGAATCTGAGGGTGCAAAAAAATCTAAATATTGAGAAAATCATCTTTAAAGTTGTCCAAATGAAGCTCTTAGCAATGCATATTACTAATCAAACATTAAGTTTTGATATATTTACGGTAGGAGATTTACTAAATATCTTCATGGAACATGATCTTTACTTAATATCCTAATGATTTTTGGCATAAAAGAGAAATGTATAATTGTGACCCATACAATGTATTGTTGGCTATTGCTACAAATATCCCCCAGCGACTTAACACTGCTTTTGTGCTGCAGGGACACAATTGTCATACATACACAAATTAAACATAAATAAAATATTTGTAATGTTTTATTTTTGTAATTCTTTAGAGTCAGTTATTTTAGTACATCAGGTTAAACTAAATGAAAAGGAGAAATGTTGCCTTGGCAACTAGCTGAAATAAAACATTTAAAAAAAACTTAAAGTCTATGTTTATTTCAAGTAACAAGAAAAACATGGCATAGTTTATTAACTATTTGATTTCATTTAAATCATATTTTCAGAGTGCATGTATTCAAATTGCTTAGAATCAGTGTAAATTGATTTTGTTAAAAAGTATGAACAGTTAAAATATGACTGATGAACAAGCAATATTTAATGAGTTAAAATGCATGAGATAGATAGAAAGTGGATTTATTGATGAGAAATATGAATATATAAGCTGGTTATTGATTATTTAAAACACATTCATTATTATTTATTTATCAGTTTATCAGTACGACAACAGAAATCTGACCTGTATGACTGACAAACATGCATCACATTAAGTTTGTTAACACGGTGTAATCCAAATGGAGTTTATATGGAATTCAAATGCATAAATCTTAAATTTAGGCATTCATTTTTTTTTAATGCACTTTATTTTGAAACACATTTTCTGAGAATGTGCAAGACATCTGATTCATTAGTCTCTGTAGGTAAACAAAGTGCTGTAAACTCTATACTAGTGTTTATAATTATGACAACACCATATATTAACCAGATAGGAAATACCATTTTGCAATAAAGCAGCATTTACATTTTTATGCAAATGTCATATGCTTGCATCCAAAGCGACTAACTGCATTCAAAAGCATCTGATCCGATCTTGCTTCCCCTGGGATTGGAACCCATGACCTTGGTGTTGCACACATATAAACGTAAAGTTCTGAGGCTCGTAAGACGTGGTTATCCTCTACTACTTAAACCACTGGTCTGATCTGGAGCAGAAGTTTCTCAAACTAACGTCAGTGTCGTTTAAAGCCTTTAATGCAATTAAAGCACTGCGAGCAGCACAAAGCACTAATGAGGCAATGATCATGAAACGAGAACAACGACAATAACAAGTTTGGCTGGAGAGCCTAATTATGTTCAGACATTTTATTTTCATCAAGTCTGAATTGAAATTCTTACATCGGCTTGACATTTAGATCCTGGTCAGACGCATGAGATCGACACGGATAATTAACAGCACTTCATTCAGCACAGACTGACAACACATGATCAGACAGACGTCTACATTAATGTCACTGAGGCTCGAGCAGAAGCACGTGTGTTGAGACGATCAGAGCGATATAATGTCTGATCGGAACACAGACTGATAACATGATGCTGAACATCCATCTGGACTTTACTCTCTACTGCTAGTCGAAGCGCAACGCGAGCGTGTGTGTGAGTGCGAATGTGTGAGAGAGTGTGTGTGTGTGAGAGAGTGAGTGTGAGTGCGCTTGTGTGTGCGTGAGAGTGTGTGTGAGTGCGAATGTGTGAGAGAGTGTGTGTGTGTGAGAGAGTGAGTGTGAGTGCGCTTGTGTGTGCGTGAGAGTGTGTGTGAGTGCGAATGTGTGAGAGAGTGTGTGTGTGTGTGTGTGTGTGTGTGTGTGTGTGTGTGTGTGTGAGAGAGAGAGGTGTTTGAGTGTGTGAGTGTGTCTGTGTTTGTGTTTGAGTGTGTGAGTGTGTCTGTGTTTGTGTTTGAGTGAGTGAGTGAGTGAGTGTTTTTTTGTTTGTGTGTGTGTGTTTGAGTGTGTGAGTGTGTTTGTGTGTGTGTGTTTGTGTGTGTGTGTGAGTGTGTGAGAGAGTGTGTGTGTGAGAGTGTGTGTGTGTGTGAGAGAGTGTGTGTGAGTGAGTGTGTTTGTGTGTGTGAGAGTGTGTGCGTGTGTGTGTGTGTGAGTGTGCGTGAGAGAGTGTGTGAGTGAGCGAGTGAGTGAGTGTGAGAGTGTGTGTGTATATGTATGTGTATGTGAGTGTGTGTGAGAGTGAGTGTGTGTGTGTGTGTGCGTGTGTGTGTGTGTGAGTGTGCGTGAGAGAGTGTGTGTGTGAGAGTGTGAGTGAGTGTGAGAGTGTGTGTGTGTATGTATGTGTATGTGAGTGTGTGTGAGAGTGAGTGTGTGTGTGTGTGAGTGTTTGCGTGTGTGAGTGAGTGAGTGAGTGTGAGAGTGTGTGTGTATATGTATGTGTATGTGAGTGTGTGTGAGAGTGAGTGTGTGTGTGTGTGTGTGTGAGTGTGCGTGAGAGTGTGTGTGTGAGAGTGTGTGTGTGTATGTATGTGTATGTGAGTGTGTGTGAGAGTGTGTGTGTATATGTATGTGTATGTGAGTGTGTGTGAGAGTGAGTGTGTGTGTGTGTGTGTGTGTGTGAGTGTGTGTGTGTGAGAGAGAGTGTGAGTGTGAGTGTGAGCGTGTGTGTGTCTGTTGTTTCCTAAGGCAAAGCGTTGAGAACTCAATCTAGAGCTGCTCTCATCAAGCACACAGTAGGGGAACTGATATTATTAGCATGTGTGAAACCCAACAGATATAAAACCATTTTAGAGCTGATGAGATCCTCAGAGCGCCGATCCAGAAAACATTTCCCGTGATTACATGTGAAGCGTTTTAATGGGACATTCTAAAACATTTAACGTGGCTTAATGCATTAAGACAGCATTTTTAAAAGACCAACCTCTGTAAATATGTTATTAATAAATCATACTGTACACAGACAAGCAGATGAGTCCAGGATAGTAACACGTTAAGTGTTGTCCTCCCATAGAAAACCGTTATAAGGAAAACGCCAATGTGCATGCATTAAAACAGTGTTTTATTATGGGCTCTGCTTGTCTGTATATAGTATGATTTATTAATAATGCGTTTACTGAGTTTGGTCTTTTAAAAACACTGTATTAAGGCATTAAGCCATGTTAAGCGTGTTTCACGTGAAGCGTTTTAGAATGTCCCTGTAAGAACAGGAGTCCAGCAGTTTCGTGCCGCTTCTCATCGATCGCTCAGAAGAAGGAGGTGTCGGAGGAAAAGACGCCGGCGAGCCTGAACTCGTCTCGGGTCAGCACGCAGAAGAGCCGCTGCGGCAGGGCTTTGGAGTACGGCGCGGGCCGCGGCACACAGGTGCGCAGCAGAACCTCCCGTCCAGCAGGGGGCGGGAAATCTGGAACCGCTTTCCTGTCGTCAGTCCCTCCAGAACGACCCGCCTCGTCCTCCAGCGGCGCCAGCAGAGCGGCCTGAACACAAGACCGCAGATCTCACATCAGTCCAGCTGAAGACGGCACAGAAACACATCTGAGAGTCAGAGGATCTTCTCGCACAGACTCAAACGAGCACGTTGGGACCACAAACTAACACACAGGAACAATTTCCACTAATTGCAAAGCTGCTTGCAAATTAGCGAATGTCGGTTCAGATCTCAGAGACTGAGATATAAAACATGTTCTGGATTCAGATCAACCTGCAGCGTCTGTGGGGTCCATCAGCACTGAAAACCCCTTCATGAGGACGGGACGGAAAGGCTTTGAGGCTTTGCTTGTGCTCACTCACACTATGAGGTCGTGCTGGAAAAAGTACTAGACTTTCAGTACTGATCGATCCGCTACAGTCGGTGAAGAGCATCAGTGGTTTCTATTTACTGTTTTGCAACATTGTAGCCAATCACTGACATGTTTGAACACAACAGCCAATCAGAGGCGTTTAAATCAGAATCCGCTCAATTTGTTCGGCGTGAGCTCTAACCGACAGTATATAAACACCATCGAAATAAGAGATTAATAGAGCATTTTCTAGACAAGTAAAAAATATTTTTATTAATAAGCAAAATAATCTGCCAATGGGGTAAGCAAAATAATCTTGTTTTCTGTTTGAAATAAGATCATTTTGCTTGTTCCAAACACGTAATTTTGACTTGTTTTTTTTCTGAAAACAAGACAATAATTTTTACTTGTCTAGAAAATCCTTCTTGATTTAAGAATTTTTAGATATTTTGGCTGGAAACAAGACAAAGAATCTAAGTAAGAAAAGCATTTTTTGCAGTGTGATCCATAAGTGCAACAAACTGACACTTATTGTGTTACAGCTAATGTGTTTCTTTGTTATTTTACTACTAATCTTTCATTTGATCATTTTAATGCAATATTTACTTAACTGAACAATATTTGAAGGATACATACTAATGTTTTACATTTTTTTAGAATTATCAATAGCATTAATAATTTACACATTTTATTTAATATTTTTATTTTCAAATAGTTACAATAGTTTTTGCTTTGGTTCCGAAATTGGTACCGAGAACCGTGAAGTTTTAGTTATTGGTACAGACTGCTGAAATAGTTTTCTGTGATGATGAACATTGCTACACAGATGCTGTGGAGCTCGTCGTTCTGAACCCAGAGCACAAGCACGAGACTGAACTACAGCAGAACATCACCGTCTGCTCACCGAACCAGCCTCCAACCAAACCCTGCCACGCATCCACAACCACCAGAGCGATTAGAGCGCTCATATTCTACAGACAACATCTCCAGATTCTGATCCTCGCTGATGTACATCATAATGGTGTCAGTGTCAGATGTTGGATTTTACCTCGTCGCTGGAGTCGACCAACTTGACGAGAGGGACAGACAAGCGGTGTTAGGAGAGAACAAACAAAGAAACAAAAAATGAAGAAAAACAACAAAACACAAAGCCAAATAAGAGCATCTGTAAATGTTCAGTCCGTGCCGCATGCATCGGATCGAGCCGCGAGGAGTGAATCTCACATTTCTGAAAAATGCACAAAGAAAAATGAAGCCTATTTTTAAAACCATTAAGATTTTTTTGTAGCGATATTTTAATGACAATCAAGCACATTTTTTTTCATAATGACTACAATCTTGAAATGTGAAAAAATGACCTGAACTGAATCATCACTGATCTGGGCTGCGTTTCCCAAAAGCTTCGTAAGTTGATCGTAGCTCCATTGGTTCCAATGGTACGATGCTTTTGGGAAACGCAGCCCAGAACAATGACTCTGTTGTCTTCTGTAGAGCAAGTTTGCATCACTGATTCGGTTATTTTCCTGGTTATTGCTGTGAAACTGCTCTGAAAGGATCTGTACTGGATAAAGCACTATAGAAATAAGTGTGACTGGAAGTCAAATTGTACGATATTTATACATTACAGTATGACTACTGTCTTTAACAAATGCCTATTATTGAGAATAACGTGAGTTGGGGGAGGAAATGTGCTTAATTATAATGACAATAAATACTACAATAATACTAATGGTTCTATAAGCTTGAATTTATTTAAGCTAATTATAACGTCTGCATATTTTCTCTTTTGGTTTTGGGTTGAAATCCAAGTGTGAGATTCATCCCTAAAGAGGAAAGAGTAATGTTAATGTTAATTCTGAAGGTTACTCCTAAAAAAAAAAAAAAGCAATCGAAAGCAATCTGTTAAAGAAACAGAAAAGTATTATTTCATGAATCTGATTGGTCGTGGGTGCAGTCACGCTTTGGATGTGTCCGGGTCACGGCACCACTTGATCTGTTCATCGGATTCACACTGAAAACATCCAAAACATGATCAATCAGAGCAAATACGAGCAAGAGATCAATGCATGCACATTCCCACAAACCCATGCAACAGATGCAGCGGCCGTCGCTCCTCTGTGAGTCTGTCTCGCTCTCATTTCTCTTTCTTCCAGGAAATCTCACCTCATTTGAATCCCTGATTTCACATGATTTACATAGGGGTGCTTGGGATAATTATTGCCTTTCTATTTGCAGCCTGGCAACACACAGGCTATAATTTAGTCCTCTATCTCACACACAGACACACACACACACACACACACACACACACACACACACACACGCAGATGGTAAGTGAGGGAGAGTTTCAGCAAACAAACTCTATTTCAAACAGCTCTACAGCTCTGCAAACTTGCGAGTGCGAATCTCGCTCATGAGCGTCTGAAGCTCAGCCGGAGCACCGCAGCGCTGATATTTCATCACTCATATCACATTTTCAGACTGTTTAACTGTAAATAGCTGAGAATTACCATTTACATTGGGGCCATTGAGCACAAGTGCATCCTGGGAATGATGTTGATACACATAAAACAGACTAATACTAACTAACAGGGTAAATTAATGAGGTTTCGGGTGACTTATGGGTCAATCCTATGGGAAAGTATATTATTCCACCTCAAAATCAAAAGAGAAAATTGATGCACCGATAGGATTTTTTTGGGGCCGATACCGATTTTAACAAACACTTATTGGCTGATTCCGATACCGATATTTGTCACTTTCTCTCTTATTTGAAATGTTGGCATCAAAATAAATAGTATTTTGATCATGTTTTAAATCAGCAAAGTTCAAAAACACCTGCATTAAATTATACTAGCAGTTTTATTGCTGCATCATCAAATAATTTCTAATGAACATGGATTGGATCCATTTAACATTCAGCAGGCCCACATAAATACAACAGAACAAAGATACACATTAAATAAACAGTGCTTTTTAGGTAGGTTTATCAGTTTTCAGGTACAGAAATACATTTTAATATTTTTTGTAAGTTTAAATAGGTATAAGATCTCCTTTACTAAGGCGGGACTCTTATTTTGACGGGTTTTCTAGTCTACGGAGCTCAGTGTTGCCAAGTCTGCCGTTTTCCCGTGGAATTGGGCTACTTTAAAATTGTTGCTGCGGGTTGTTTTCCATGTCCGCGGGTTTAAGCGACCCCGATAACGTGATATTTAGCACCTAAAATGCAAATTTTACCAGGGGAACCCCACCAAAAACGTGTATTTTACCCCATCGGAATGCGATTTTTACCGGGGGATCCCTCTCGAACCGTGATTGGGCTAGTTTTGAGTAACAATTGGGCAGGTTTTTGTTGTGAAAACCTGGCAACCCTGACAGAGCAGCTATATGGGTAATGAAAGCACGCAGTTCTTCAGATTTAAAGTTTGTCAGTTTATTAAGCACCCCCCGCAAAGGCATGAGATCTGTATATATTTGTTTACTGTTAGTGGTAATAAGTGTTTAGTGTAATTCGCTGTATGTTGATGATAATGCAACAGAGAGAGAGTTTAATGTGCACTTCTCCTGCTGTGTTTTGTTTAGCTCTTATGGTGATTTTTTTTGGACTGAAAAAGGACGCAATAAACTTAATAAAACATCTGTAAAGTTTTGGTCATCATTCAGATGAGGTCCGCTACACTTATGAAAGTTATAAAAGTTATTTAGTCAAGAATAGTGTGCGATCTTTTGTCTTTTGTTATTCGATCAGCATTAAAGTGCAGACAGCAGCGCTAGGATTATGCAACAGACATTATACAGCTCAGTGCCTTCACGCAGTTAATTAATAAACCATTAATTCGGCCTTTTTCCTTATATAGCCGATAATTGAAGAAAAATCGGCCGATAAATATCGGTGCCGATACATCGGTGCATCCCTAATTGATGCATTAAATTTTGCATAAAATGAAGCCCTGCTGAGCTTCTCTGTGATTTCCAGGTCAGATTTTGCAGTGAAATCAATGTGATCTGGGAAGTTCTCTGTGAGACTAACTAACTCACTCACGAGAGACGATCATCAAACGCATTGTTTAACTGTCCGACTCCAAACGAGCGAATCTTTTTTTAAACAAATCACTCGCTGGCGTGTTTAATTACCTCTGTGTCACATTAAAGCTCTAAATGAAACTAAGACGTCCGCCGCATTTCATTAATTTAGCTAATTATGACAAAGAGCAAAAACAGCTCCATCAGATTTTTAAATGTATTTTTTAAAGTCCTGCTGTTAAAGTCGTCATGATGCGCTTGAACGAGTCCGGCAGCGTCTCAGATATGAAGCGTTCATGCGGTTATTAACACACAACCTTCCTGTTTACTATGAGAAAATATATGATTATGATAAAACTAGGGCTGTCGATTTACCATGTTAATTTGGTGTAATTTTGGAAAAGATGACATGTTAAAATGATTAAGGCCATTAAAGGAGCCGCATGATTCAAGATTATTTATATCATATGATATAGTTTAGCAATACCACACCGGAAACAGTGCTGCTTTTCCCCAATATCTGCACCACTGATTTTATACAACAGTTACATTTTAGACACAATATCATCTGTTTTGCTCAATTTTGCAAATGAAAATTGTTCCAATCAAACTCACAGCAGAACTGTTGAGCTCTGATCAACACAGTGGTGATTCGTTACTGAATGAATCTACGGTTTTGAGTGAATCGAGTGAGCCTCTTGCGGTCACAGACAGTCATTTGCTTTGTTTCAGGATTAATCAGCCGTTTAAATGAATCGAGTGAGTCAGTGATTCAGTGACTCATTCATAAAGACAGTCACTTGAAATGTTGAATCATATCTTTTTCAAAACCTACTTTTTTTTAAAAGTCTATGCAATGCTTTTCTCATAACACAATAATGACTTTAATTTATCATTTGGGAGTCATTTCTCAGCCCAAATTGATGTGCAATTAATTTTTGAGTGTGTGAGTGAGTGTGTGCGCATGTGTGAGTGAGTGAGTGTGCGCGCATGAGTGAGTGAGTGTGTGTGAGTGAGTGTGCGTGAGTGAGTGTGTGAGTGAGTGTGTGCGCGTGTGTGAGTGAGTGAGTGTGCGCGCATGAGTGAGTGTGTGCGCGAGTGAGTGTGTGTGCGCGTGTGAGTGTGTGTGTGAGTGAGTGAGTGTGCGAGTGTGTGAGTGAGTGTGCGAGTGAGTGAGTGGTAAAGATCAGAAAAAGAGATCAAAGCTTAATTTTGAACCTCGTTTACTTTCTATCCGAAGCAAATTAAATTCTTGGTTACAGCGTGATCTGTCAATAACAGGTAGAGTGTTGCTTTCTAAAGCAGATGGGTTAAATATAATTATAATTTTTCTCCACATAGCTATTTTATTTTGAGCAATAAAAATATTAGATATAAAAATAAATCTTTTTTTTATCACAATTGGTTTGATAAAAATATACTGTTAGTCGGTCAACTTTTAGATGATCGTGGTGTCTTTTTTATTTATGAACAATTTATGCAAGAATTCTCTTTTCCAGTCCCTCCAAGAGAATATGCCATTGTTTTTGGTGCAATTGCTGATTGTATTATACCTTTAGTCAAGTCTGGCCCTAAAGGTTTTTAGACGCTCCTATTTTTGACAACACTAACTTATTTGTTGACCGAAGTCTTCTCAATACCATGTCAAACAGAGACATTCGTTCAGTTATTAATAGATCTCAGATTTTTTTACCTGCTTGTGTGAGTTTTTGGAATAACATATTTAGTGATATAGAAAGGGAAGAGTTTTGGCTTCTTCAACAAAAATTCTTCTTATCTAATAAAGTTGTTGAAGTCCGTCAAAATTATCCATAATTGCTATCCGGTAAATTACAAACTTGCTCAATTTAACAATAGTATTTCCCCTAATTGCTCCTTTTGCCTTCAGTCTGAAGAAACAATCAATCATTTGTTTTGGGACTGTGCTTATTGTAAAGTGTTCTGGGTTGACTTTTCCAATTTTGTTAAAAAATATTTATATCCAAACTTCTGTATAACCCCCAAAATTGTGTTTTTTGGTTACTCTTTGAATTTAAGACCCTTCTCACTGCAAATTTATTATTAATCTATTACTATTACTTGCTAAATTTTACATTCATAAATTGATGTAAATGAGCAAAATAAGATTTTGATGTGTATGTAAACTCTTTAAGAAACTGATAATTGTATTGCATTTAAGACTCTTTTATGGTGCAAGTCTTATAAGCTAACATAGTATGCTTTGGATTATTGTATTTAGCCCTCATTGTCTTTTGTTCTTATTTTATCTTTGTAATTATATTTGTTGTTCTTTTATTGCATTAAAAAAACGTAATAGCACGTGTAGCGGCAGCCTCCTAATGGCGTTCGGTAACGAGTTTTAATTCCGTAGGGGGCGCTGTTGGACTGCTTCTAATAAAATGAAAGCAAAATACACAAATAATATTTAGACTGTGTTTCTGATTAAATAAAGCAGTAATTGATGCCATAAAATCATGAGTATGTTTTGATTTAAAGGTCAGAAGCTATAGCTTACATGAACAAAAAAAAACACAAACATGACACTTAAATTAAATAATTTTATATATACTGATTTATTCATTAATGTGTAATATGTTATATTTTTAAAACAAATGATGAGCTCAAAAAGATTTAAAGAATTTTTACAACTCTTTTGCTTTAGACCATTTACAAATGTTAAATCATAAAATAAAACGTTAAGGTTACCACTGCATCGTTCTGAAAAAAAAAATGCAGTGATTAATATATAGTTTATTTATAGTTATTTTCAAATCTTAAATGTACTGTCATTATAAAATAACTTTATTATTGTTTATTTAATTCTAACAAATAAGTTCTTTTTAAAAACTAACCAAAATTAAAAAATAATTATATATCGGCATCGGCTATCGGCCAAAATGGGTTGAAAATTATCGGTATATCGGATATCGGCAAAATCCAATATCATGCATCCCTAGTAAATTATGTTTATCTGAAAGTGTAAGAATGCAAACAGGTTTTCTGTAAGGGGTAGGTTTAGGGTTAGTGGATAAAAAATATTGTTTGGTCAGTATAAAAGTAGAAGTCTATGGAAAGTCCCCACAATTCACAGAAACCTAACGTGTGTGTGTGTGTGTGTGAGTGTGAGTCTGTGTCTGTGTCTGTGTCTGTGTGAGTGTGTCTGTGCGAGTGTGTGTGTGAGTGTGTGCACGAGTGTGTGCGCATGTGTGTGAGTGAGTGAGTGAGTGAGTGTGTGTGTGTGAGTGAGTATGTGAGTGAGTGAGTGTGTGCGCGTGTGTTGGTTTACCCGCTGAGAGCTGACGAACAGCTTATGAATGATGTTTCCAGCAGGTCCTCGTCCGGCTCCAACCACAGAAACCTCGGGCTCCTCCAGCAAACAGCTGACAAACCTGACAGACGACAGACAGGAACAGCGTTAGAACACGAGACCGAGCGTCACAGGAAGAGCGTGCAGGAGAGTTTAGATGAATAAAGAGGATTGTTTATCATGTTCATATTCGTCATACTGAGAAATTAAACGGGAAATGCAGCCTGCTCAACTCACTCACTCTCTCTCACACACACTCTCTCTCTCACACACACACAC